CCCCAGATGCTGGGAGGGTGACTTCTGCTGTTTGTGGTCATCGTGACGGCAGCCTCGGGAAACGAGGTGAAAAGCCGCATTCTGTGACTGTCCTGTCCCGCTTTGCATGCAGGGCCTGCAGTTTGGAGATGGTCCCACGACGTGCCGCCCAGCGTCCCCTCCTTCCCACAGACGCTCGCCGCCTGGTGCTGGGGATGGGCTGTGGCTCCTGAACTGGCCTCTGATGACATCTGCACCCTCTCTAACCTCCACCCTCGCCAGCCCGGCAGTGCAGAGAGACCCTCAGTCAAGTCTCTGCTTAAGAGCGCAGGTGTGGGTGCAGGAACACCCCCAGGATCATCCGGGACCGCAGCTGAGTGCACCTGTGACTTTGGTCAACCTGCTGTGTCTCCGCTCGGGGGGTTATTCTATTCTGCATCTTGGGAGACACAAAGCTGGGACGGGGGGGGGGGGGGAGGGGGGGGGTCTCATTCAGCCCCTGGACTCTTTCTTCTTCCTGTCTAGCGTGTGGGTACAAGAGCCCCGCCCCGTGAGGACTGACGCCAGGGCGAGGCGAGGTGGGTGAGACACACGGACAGCACCAGCCTCACAGGACTCCGAGGAGCGAGTGCCAGCCAGCCTCACGTGCCCTCATCTTAGAGGGCAAACTCATCTTAGAGCAGAGGATAAACACCACTGTGACTCGCACACAAACCTGGGAGGCGCGAGCTTGGTGAATTTCTTCGGAGGCCATCGCCATTCTCTGGGGGTCCCTCAGACCGACCCCTCTGAGCACAGGCTGTGCAGGCTGTCCCGGCTCTGCCTTAGGACACAGCCGCTTGGACGGCACCTGCTGTCCCTGCAAGGAGAGACCTGAGTGCAGCCTCCGGTGCCCTTGGCAAGGCAGGTCCCAGCAGACGAGTCCTCTTCGTAAGTTGACTGGCCCCGTCCGAGGACCCACCCCCTCCGAGGACCGGACCAAGGCTGCTCCTGAGTCCTGGTAGGGAGGAGCCGCGTGGCCGGGGAAGCTGGGAACAGGTGTCCCATCTGCATGTCATAGGTGATGATGGCCAGGACGGAGGCCCTGCAAGGCTGTGGCCACTGGGAGAGGCCCATCTGAGCCTGGCAGGGACCACAAATGAGGCCGGCACAGCACAGACCCCAGAGCAAGCAGCCCCCGTCTGACAGCCTCAGGGAGGGGACGCCCCCCACGCAGGGGCCTGGGTCCCAGAGCCAGCAGCTTGTAGAGTCCCAGCAGGGTGCCTAGGAGGCAGGGACCACCTTGGCGGGGTGGGAGCACCCCCAGTGCAGGACCCACTCACACCCAAGCGTGGCCAGGCGCCCCAGCCCATCCCCCGAGCGATCCACAGTGCTGCTCAAGTTCATTCCAAAAGTCACGTGGGTGTGGGTGCTGCCTCAGCCTCCCGGGTCTGATGCGGCTCTGAGCGCTCAGGGTGAGGTCCCAGGGACGTTGGGGACGGCATACGGGCACCTGGCTTCGGAAGAACCTTCCTCGCTCAGGGGGTGCTCATCAGCAGTGTTGACAGGCTGCTTAGGGCGAAAGAGCCTCAGGGAAGGGCTGGCCCCCCCTGGGGACGTTTGTCAATGTTGTGATCATCCGCCCACAGGGTCTAGTGACTTTCTCAGCCTGAGTCCACGCCTCCGGCCAGGGAGGGGCGACGTCTGTCCAGGGCTGTAGAGACAGCTCCGGCCCACAGCCTCTGAACTCCACCGCGGACTTCACTCAACCCTCTGAGAGGGGGGCTCCCACCTTGGGGAAGAGGGGGCATCCCGGGGGGGGGGAGGTGAGGGAGACCAGTCCGCGGGACACACACTGTCCTCCCTTCCAGCGCAGCTGGGGAGAGGGCGGCATCGGGATGCTATGCCACCTCCAGCTGGGGAAGGGGCTCAGGGCAGCAAAATGTGCCGATGGGAGCTGTGGCCTCAATTCAGTGGCCGGCAACGGACCTTTCTATCTCTGCCTCTCTGTGCCGGTGTCTTATTTCTTAACCAGCTTCCAAGTTAGGAGATGAGTGTGGTGCACCATCACCTGGAGCCCCAGCACTCAGTCAACCCAGCCAGCCAGCTTGTCCTGGGTCATGGGAGGCAGGTGACGTCTCCCCCCAGACAGTGAGGGGCCCCCACTGCCCTGCACCCCATGTCAGCCCCAAGACCACTCTGTTTAGGACAGCTCGCTGTCTGCTGTGTTCCCTCTGGAAGCAATCTGGGACTCTGCATTGGAAGGATAACGGGGGGCCCTAGGAAGAAGGGGACCAGATGTGGCCCAAAGACGTCGGAGGCAGTGATCTCCACGGACCCACCACGGTAGCCGCAGCCACCAGCAGCATGGTGTATCTGCTCAACTTGAACCACGTCCTCCACATCCAGGGTCTGAGAGTGTGGCTGACAGCCCAAGCCCGAACTACGTGGGCCGATGGTGGAGTCCAGGCCGGGAGACAGGAGCTCGTCCACCGCGGGGAGAGCCGTGGGCAGGGGCAGGCGCTGAGGGGGCAAAGCACAGGCCGTGATCCTAGACACGTGCCTGCCCAGTACCCCGGCAGGAACCCAGGTGCCTCCACACCCAATTGGATTCACTGATGAACTCAACATTAATTGTGCCCCTGCTGTGTGCCTGGTGCCATGATAAGTCACGGGGACTTGCACCGGTTTCTCATGGAGCATTTGTTTGTTTTAAGAGAGAGGGCGGGGTGGGGAGAGAGAGAGAGAGAGAGAGAGAGAGAGAGAGAGAGAGAGAATCCCAAGTAGGCTCCACGCTCGGCACAGAGTCCGACACAGGGCTCGATCCCATAACCCTGGGATCATGACCTGAGCTGAAATCAACAGTCAGACGCTCCGCCGATTGATTGAACCAGGGGTCCCTCTGTTGGAGCTTTTGAAGCAGCAAGGGAAACAGACTTCAGCCAGATGCTGCCACAGGGAGGGAAGGTTCCTCCCCAGAACCGCCGGGCGGGTGAGCTGGCGCACCTGCGCCACATTTGGTCCCAAAGCCACAGCTGACTCTCCGCCCCTCCGCCCTAGAGGCCCGTCTTCCTGTTCCCTCGCTGGCCCGGCGCCGAGTCAAGGTGGCGGAACTTGCCACGTGTAGGTAAGACCGGGCCCGTGTCACCAGTAGCGTCTCAGCGGGCCCCTCCGTGCTCCGGACCCAGGACACACTCCCCGGCCCCGGCCAGCAGCAGCCACCCACCCTCTACAGAACGGTAGCTCCTTTCTCCGCCTGCTGGCCTACTGGCACGCGGAGCCCAAAGGAACCAGGTGGCGGTTTAGGGGCAGTGTGACCCCGTTGTCCCCCCGGAGGAAGCAAACCCCCCTGAACCAGCACCTCTGGACCTGCAGGGCAGGATGGGAGGCACAGAGTCACGGCTCCCAGGGGCCACGGGAGTGGTGACGAGTGGGCCATGCCCGCATCCACCCCGTCACGCCCAGACGCACACAGCCCGCCTATACGCAGCGTGGTTATGGGTTCGAGACCTACAGCTGCCTCGGAGAACAGCACCCGGCCTCACCAGCTGATTCTAGAGGCGGTTCCAACCACCCTGGGGCCGTGTCCGTGTGAAGGACGACAGGGTCCCACGTCTCCCGCCCGCTGCGTCGCCTCCTTTGCCATCAGGTGGCTCCTTGGTTTGAGGTCGTCTCCTGCAGAATCCTGCGTGGGCGAGTCTCCCTCTGAGCCCTGGAACGCTTGGAGGAAGAGAAGCCCGGGTGGTCTGCGTCCACTGGGATGGGTCGGAATGCACATTACACCCTGCCTCGGGGCAGCGCGCTCCCGCCCTCGGTCCCAGCAAGGCCCACAGGTCCCCTGTGGTCTGGGACCACGGAGCTCCATGCTGGTCCTCTGGACCAGGTGATAGTGCGGAAGCTCTGTTCAGACACCTCCCAATCCAGAAGGTGGAGATGGACGGACAACGGAGAACAGGGAACGGCGTGTGCGAAGGCCGTGAGCACGTGTGGGGGGGGCCGAGCCCTGCTGGCCCACGAAGGCCTGGTTCAGGGCAACGAGGAAGCGCATCGGCTCCCTTGCTGACGGATTTTCTCGGCCGCGGGTCAGGGGATCAGAGCGTCTTCCTCGTGCTGCCCTCTGCTCTCTGGAGCCGCATGAAGCCTCCTCCAGCCAGTAGAGCCTCAGAGCACAAGTGTGGAGTCTGCGGCCGCTACTCCTCTCACATCTTCCTGTGTGGGGCCCCCCCCCCCCGCCCGAGCGCGGCGGGCCCCCCCCCCCCCCCCCCGCCGGCCCCAACCCTGCGCCCCCCAGCCTCGGGCACAGCTGCCAGCTCCCGCTTTCTCCGGGACGCGGTCTAAGGCGGGCAGGAGCCCGGGAAGGGATCCTGCGTCTGAGCCGCCATCACAGTGGCCCTCTTTTGGCCTCGGCTGAGATGGGGTCACCCCTGCCCAGCGGCCAGCCCTGGAGGTCACGGCCCACCTGCAGCCCCAGGCCCGCCCGACGAGGCCCAAGTCTCGGCCGTGTGCCCCAGCCCCGGCGGCACCCTCCCCGCCCTCCCTGGTCAGCACACCTCGGGTTTTTCTCCCGGAGCCGCACCCTCTCCGCCTTCGGGCTGCATGACCTCATCCCAGCTCCAGCGTGGCACGGAGGCCGGGCCACCATGATCGCGTCTCAGGTGCGCACGTGTGTCCGTCTCCCGGGGCGGCTGTGACGGAGGGCCACAAACCGGGAGCCTTGGGATTAGAACATGTCCCCTCCCGGTTCTGGAGGCCGAAGACCAAAACGCAGGTGCTGCGGCCTGTGTGCTGGGCTCTGCCCGCGTCTCCGGGTGCTGGCGCCTTGCCGCCAACCCTTGGCCCGGGGACGCATCGCTTCGCCTCCGCGTCTGTCACCACACTGCATCCTCCCTGCCTGTGTCTCTGCCTTCACGTGTCGTGTTCACATGTTCTCTTGTGGGGCACCAGTCACACGGGATTAGGGACCCTAATGACCTCATCTTAACTTGGTCACGTCACCTGCAAACACCCCACTTCCAAGTAAGGCCAGATTGACAGGTGCCGGGTTAGGATTTCCACATCTTTCTTGGAGACACACTTCAGCCCCGAACAGCAGGGGTCCCAGTGGCAGTCAGTGTGACCGTTTCTAGAATTTGTGGTCGAGGCAAGTAGGTTCCTTTCTTCCCGTCGTGACAAGGTGCGCCGAGGGCCATCACCCGTGCCTCACAGAGCCTGAGAAGGCAGCCAAACGGCAGAGATGATGGCCACCAGAGTGGGAGGAAACAGCGTGGCCCTCTCCGGTGGACCGGATCGAGCCGGTCCTGAAGGCTCACTTGCCTGGCGTCTCATGCACGGGAGCTGCCAACCTCCTTTTCTGCCCGAACTGCCTTCTCTGAGAGATTCTGTCACCTGCAGCCTGAAGGAATGGGCTTTGCTAGTCGTGGCCCCAGATGGAGTCGGGTGGGGGACGCAGAGGCCTCCCCGGCTCAGGAAAGGTGTGATAAACTCGGCCCAGGCCCGGGCAAGTGACTGTGCCTCCCGCCCCTGTGTCTCTTTCAAGTCGTCCGAGGTTGGGCCGGGGCGGTGGGCTGTCTGGACGGCCGGAAAAAGTTCCGGCTGGTGGTGGCCCTGGAATGACAGGCTGCAGTGGGCCGGCCCCACCCAGCTCTCAGGGGGGGATGGTACTGGAAGTGAGGCCTGAGGCTGGCAAAGAGGTTCTGGGAGCTGCTCACCTACCGGGCGAGCCACGTGCTGGAGTCGTCGGCTTGCGAGCGGCCACCAGAAGGGGCATCTTCGGCTCACGGTGTCAGGTCAAGGCGACGGTCCCCGTGAGGCACCGGCTGTCCCGGGCACACGGGTCCTGGCTGCTTCTGTCAGACAGGATGTAGGCTGTGCCGTGGCCCCCGCCCCGTGCCGAGACTTCAGTGCCGCCCGCCCGGCTCCGGTCCACCGCTCGCCGGACAGGAGGAGCAGGCCACTCGATGGCGGGGAGCACGGCTTTGGGAGCAGGGTCGTGTGAGCGGCTGGAACGCCACATGGCCGCTTTGCGGCGGGGGGCAGGGGGGGTGCTTGAGCACGACATGCTGTGACTTTTGGGCAGTGTGCCTTTCAATGTGCTTGGAAGGAGGAAGGCAGGTGGGCGTCAGGCAGCCTGGGATGGACGGAGAACGTGTGTGTTTGCTCCTCGGCCTGGCCCGGCCAGCTCAGGAAAGATGTGCTCCCTTCTGTAGGCAGTTGGAGTTGGGCTTTTGGTGACTGACAAAAGCCTAGGGTGTGCCCGTCCCTCCAGGGGACCGCGGGGGCCTCTGCCTGGGCCTGCCACCTTCTCCTCCAGCTCAGTGGGGGGGGGGGGCAGCTGGGACAGGGGTGTGGGCCCCTGGATCTCAGGTTCCCCCAGACTCTGGGCTCTTCTCTCACAGAGACACACGCACCGGTGACACAAAGGGTGACTCTTGTCACGTCTTCTCCCCTTCTTATTTTAACACACACTTGCTGCCAATCAAGGAGGAGATAAGAGGGGCTGTGCCCTGTTGGGCTCCCCTGGGAGACAACCCCGTCCCATGGCAGCCCCTTCCTCCTGGCACCTGGAGCCCCGCGGGGACGGGAGGCAGAACCTCAGGCCTTCGAGCTGCTGGGGGGGGGG